GCACGCTCGCGTTATCTCCCCCTCGTAGATGTTTCTTTCCCGTCCCCCCATTCGTCTTCTCGTTCGCGCGGTGTCTCGCGCCCCCGTCCCCCCCTTCCCCCTCCCGTTTGCGCAAGTCTTCTCGTTCGCGCGGTCTCTTTCCCTCGCGCGTTCTCGCTCGCGATCGCGTATCTTTTCTTCGCCAACGATATTTAATCGTTCAGATCTTCACAATATTTAATTTTTAATATTACATTTAAGTAAACAATAAACGAAGACAGCTTTATGACAGGAAATGGGATGAACGGTAAATGATAAGGAAAAACTTTTTAACCATATTATATGCATTTATTTATCATGTAGCGCATTATACACAATAGTATCCAAAGCGTAGGCTAATAATTCGCAGTCAATAATCGAATTTTTATCATAAACGTCACGCAAGATTGTAACTGCGTTACATTTATCAGTGATACAATTTTGACGTAAAATTGTTACAAACTGTTTAAATTTTTCACTTACACCGTGAACATTTTGACATAGTTGAAAATACATATTCTCGACACAATGTTCTAGTTCGAACAGGAAGAGTACAGTTGACGGTTTCATGTACAAGCTGGTGCCGCACGACGTCAATTTTACAATATTTGCGTCACGTATTTTAACAAGCTCCAGATCTCGAAACGTTAGCGATGATGGTGCTGATGACTGCACGATGCGCTGTATATCTGCACGTTTTTCGATGAATGTCACCCACGTTGCATATAGCAGAATTATCCGATTGCCTCGGTTATCGCCAATAAGTATATCCACAGAGGACATAGGTCCCGCGTTGATTCCAACATCCAAAAATTTATACGCTGTTGATGTCAAGGCAAATCTCCTTCCCAAAATACGTGGCGTATAGCGGGGTTTATCAAAACTGAAAAAATACAATTATGTTTATAAAAGTTTTTTGCACAAGTATATACGAAAATTAGCGGTACTTACTCATTGTGCTGTTTCTCGCACGTTTCGTCCTGAATCGGAACGTTGTAGTTCATTATGTCCTCATACATATCGAAGTGGCATCGGTAGAATCCTCGGAGCGAATGGGGATACAAATATTAGCGGACCCCATTTTATTTTGCATTCCCCTCCACACTGTAAACAGAGCTCGTTTCCAATAGGCCAATGTGGCACGAGTGATCTCCAGATAATCCCATGTGTTGATCCTTCATCATAAACATCACGAACACTGCCACGAACCATACACCAACATGTTTTAACGTATGAGTCCAGAGCCTCCCAATTATGTTCAGTTCTAGTGATATGCAATACAGAATGCTTGGGACACCATGTGTCATTGCCAGTAAGTACGTTTCGAAATTCAACTTCTCTGCCACGAAGCAAACATACCATCGACGAGCAATAGCGTCTGTCCGTTCCCATACTGTATTTTTTACAGATATATTAACTTTCAACTGCGCAAGTAACTCTCAACTGCGCGAGTAACTCGACTGCGCTCTAGAATCTTCGCAGATATTTTTTCTGCAATCTTAAAAATGCAAGTTTGCATTTCAGCCAAGCGTCGTTGCTGCAGGGTGACCACCACCACCACAATCCACATATATGTTAAATGTGATATATTTGTCAAGAACATACATGTCTCGAGATGATTTCATCGAACACGTGCAAAACTGCAAATTTTGCAATTTCGCATAAGTTAATGGAGCTTATTGTTTACAAAAACATGTTGCGACATGTCTCGCGATGATTTCATCGAACACGTGCAAAACTGCAAATTTTGCAATTTTGCATAAGTCAATGGAGCGTTATTGTTTTCAAGAACATGTCGTGACGTGTCTCGCGATGATTTTATCGAACACGTGCAAAACTGCAAAATTTGCAATTTCGCATAATTCAATAAAGCGTTATTGTTTTGAAGAACATGTCGCGACATGTCTCGCGATGATTTCATCGAACACGTGCAAAACTGCAAATAGCGCCGATGTACGGCTGCTGCATTGATACAGATCAAATCACCAAAAGTCAATGGCGCGTTTTCGTGAACGTACGTGTCTCGCAATGATTTCATCGAACACGTGCAAAACTGCAAATTTTGCAAATAGCGCCGATGTATAGCTGCTGAGATGAAATTAGATATGATAAGCAAACGATGCATCATTAGTAGAATATAAAATGACGAATCTAGGGGATACGCTCAATAGTCGAGAACTGAAAGTCGTGAGTGCAACAAATGGCGTTAGCAAGAGGATCGTGCAATAACATGGAGCAGGAGTTGTTGGAGCAATCCACCCTGTTAAATTCGAGGGAAGACTTTGCCGCGTGGGAGCAACGATGCGACGAGTTTATCGCATCGTTGGAAGAACAAAGCCGAATTAAACGGCCACGATTATCAATCGATCAGTCATCGATCGGTCTCAAACAGTCATTGGTCGCTTGTATCGCAAGACTCGAAGGTTTGAAAGACTCGGTACGTCAACGTTTCGTGCATGTGGGAGCAGGATACAGTGCGAGTGCGACAGGACTCAGATGGCGCGAGATAGATCCGGCTTTTGAAAGCCGTATATTGACTGGTGCGGTGATAAATTCCAAACACATCGACCCTCGTCAATTTCTTATAAATGCGAGAGAAATTGTACTCGATCGTGTGCAGAACGTCATGCAACGACATGACAATGTAAAAATTAACACAGTGTTTAATGGTGAATTTGCTGCGGGTGACAAACGCGCAAATAAAAGTATCGCAACGAGAAACTATGAACTCTTTCGTGAGTCCAATCTGCACGAGTGGTACAAGCAACACGTCATCGAGCCTACCTTAGCAAAGCTGGAGGAATTCCAGGAACGTGATAGCGGATGGGCGTTGTCGCGTATACTCAATTTAATGGTAAACGTGAACAAATACAACCCGTTGCACGCGGGGTGGTTTGTGGAAATACCGCAAGAAATTAAAAAGAAGAAGGCGGTGATAAACGTGCGATCAATGGACAATGCATG